CCTTGACCTTTGTTCTAGAGCTACGTGCCTGCCCCTCACTACCCAGCACACGCCAAAAGACCACCAACAACAACAAAAAAACTACGGAAAAAAACCAAACCAGGAAGGACACAGTAAATGTGTTCTCTTTATCCTCTCGACATGAGTGCCCATCTTCTATTAAGCGCAAGTACCGGCAGACTTTTGCAAATAGGTTCTAATGAACTATTTTCAGTAATCCTCTTCATTGTTTCTTCTATTTAAAAAAAAACCCAAAAAAACTAAACGCATAGTGTTTGCGTAGTGCGTTTTCCCCGCTTGACACACATTATGCTCGCGCGCACCCGTGCACCCTCCCCCTCCCCTTTTTTTATATTTTTCTCAACAAGAATAGGATTGGAACAGCGAGAAACTCCAGAGAAACAGGATCGTGAACTTATACAACGCATGAATGCAGTAAGAGGATTTCACCTTAACTACACCCTTATCTCTTCCTCTAGCCCGCTCCTGGATTCTATAAAATACGCTGAAGGGTTTGCAATAGTCCAGCAAAGGCGTCTACAATACCCACCTGATTTTGTCATGGAAATTTGGATTTTTGTTTTTTGTTTTGGAAGGTTTGGAAGGGGGGGGGTTGCTTTTCCAGGGAATAAAGAAATCTTTTGCCAAACCCCCCCCCCCCTTTCCAAACGTCCCAAAACAAACAAAAAATCCCCTCCCAATATAAAAAAATATATTTTAAAAATTAAAAAAAGGTTTAAGTAAAAAATCGGGAATTATGTTAGGTAAAAAGACAATGTTTATCAATTTCAGGACAAGGCGAAGGTCAAGATTTGAAAACTGCAGAATTTTCCTCATGCCAGAATTAAAAAGCTCTCTCATATTAATAGCCTTAATAAGCACTTGCTTGCGTCGTTAAACTCTAACCAAACTGAAACAGGATTAGAGCGGTCTTAGTTTTCGGACAAAGTGATCAACATTAACACCTCCATACCAGTTAAGGCTTTTTTTCTTCTGATAGTTATGTACAATCGAAAGTTGAGCCGAACGGATATTTACAAGTGTCAGAAAAGCCGCAAATCCTCAAGCCTCAAGTGTAAAAGCAAAGAAGCATTAAACGCAAGTCTTTTGAAAGTATTATAGTACATGTAGTTTGAAAGGTAACGCGATACCTTTATCTGAAGATGAATCGAAATGACCCACACACTACTACTGCACTCATTAGCATTAATCCGAACGCACCCATAGCAAATATAGAGGTTTATGAACCGTGGATGGAGGAACGTTGGCACCTCTTGTTAGTTTTAGTAACGATTTTTCGGCGCCCGCAACTGCATAAGGTCATAATAATGATGATGATATGAGCGCCAGGAGATTAGAGGTGCTACAAGAGAGTAACAAACTTGAAAAAGAAGGAGGGGAGATAAGGACAATAATAGAGGTTTGATAGGAAAGAAAAAGCAAACCACACAAGACCACCCGCCAACCACCCACACCTCGACGCTCAGTAATAACGTTTATGAACAGTGGATGGAGGAATGTTAGCACCTCTGAGTACTGAGTCAGACCCACCACGTCGCCACACCCTAACAAGTGCAGGACGGGGCCATCTACCTATAAATTATGTTATTGTTTTTACGCTCTGATGCTCCCGGTATGCATTTTGTGTATCAGTTTTTTAAAGCAAAAATAAGTTTCATCTCACATCTGTTATGTACAATGTATCATAATATATTCTTACAAAAATGCGTTACTTCATCTATGTGCACTACACTCACAAATATATTATATAT